CGTTGCTCGGCCTGTCTTAGAGAGTCGAGACGTGCCTCTGCATCCACACTGTCGACGCTCAGTAGCTGAATAGCGTGCTCGTACTTGGCAAAGACGTTAGCCATAGACTCCCCTAGGTTCTGGTGCAAGTCGTGAACCACGTTAGTACAGTTGTTGGACTTAGCGTGATCGGACAACGTAGACAGAAACGTACCCTTGTAGAGGCCAAGTAGACGTAGATACGTATAGTGAATACTCATAGGTATACGTTGACACCTACGGGCCCTCAGGTTAGCGTCGTGGGGTAGTGTAGGGACTCCGAGTACGTGACCAGTAGTACTAACGTCCCAACAACGTAGAGAAAAGCTGACCAGCCTATGCATCTTCTTACAGTAAAACCGACGTTGTAGTAGATGGCATACCCGTCGTGATCCCAAGTGCATGTACTTATAGTGATAGATAGTCGATAGGATCCTTATGAGGGCTGACGTATACTTGCTGTTACCAAGATAGATCACACCGTCGTCATCTTCTTCAGCATGGCGAAGTCGCTCTGGGCTAGGGTGACGTCTGACTATACCATGTTGGTCAACGTAACAAATACGAGCCAACCTTCTTAGTTTACCACCCTTCATGCCGAGTTCCTTGTAGGTGACCTTCTCAAGGAGAAGATTCTTGAAGTCCTTCAAGTCGTCGTCCAATTCTTGCGCACGTATTACGCAAGCACTGACACGGTCTTCGTAGTTACCATCCTGTAGTAGCTCTGGGTCGATCTCTTCCACGGGCTTGGCATAACGTGTGAGTTCACGTAGTTCTTCTTGTTGTTCAGTAGTAAAGGAGCCGTAGTTGGGTAGGTCAATACCGTCACAGTTGAGAGTCATCACCAGAGCACCGACAGTTGAAGAGTTGGTTGTGGCGTTAGCCACGGGAGAAGTAGTAACCTTCTGTACTAGTTTAGTACCAGTAGTTGTTGTTGACGTATTCGTGGCGTTAGCCACGGGAGAAGTAGGAATACATTGAGCGTCCCTGCCGTTGGTGGTTGCAGTTGTTGGTTCCGTGGCGTTAGCCACGGGGGAAGTGGTATATTGTGAGCAGGGTTCTTCATCGTTGGTCTCGACTACGTTCTCAGCCAACTCGTCATCTGTAATCTCCCTATAGTCAAAAACCACTTCGCTGACAGACATCGCCTTGCAGACGTGGGTACCGTCAATGACCTTGTCGTTGATCTTAGCTCGTGATATCGAGTCGGCATAGTTCAACTCAGAGGGTATGTGCTTGACGATAACGTCTAACTGTCGGCACATCTCTCTAATCTCCTTCAGTCTTCGTCGTTCAACGACAGGTAGCTTCTTGTCCCTACTGGGGCGTCGTAACCGATACACCGTGATCTCACTGTCACATAGGAGAACGACTTGTCGAGCTGGTAGATTAGGTACCAAGGGTTCTAGAGGTGACTGGTGAGGACGTAGACAAGTCTTGATGGGTAAGTAGGTTGATGTAGAACGTATCCAAGTGAGGGCGTGGTGTACAGCGACCAGCTCCTTACGTGGAATAGTCCACTTAGTCTGTGAGCTTGGGAAGACTCCTCCACGAGCCATGACCCTAGTAGTAGTATCTTCACCAGTGGTACACCTCACGTCCACACCCCAACATTCACCAGATGCATCTGATGAGACCAATAAGGGGTAATTCTCCAAGTCAATGAACCTCTCGAAGCCTATTAACGTAGTTATTTCCGTACACGACGTTGCCCATACTTTGATCCGATGGACCAAATCATCGTTGAGCTTGTCGTCCCAGTTTTTATGAGCCTGACAGACTTCTCGCCAAAGTAGTCGTCCTTGTATGTCTAGCTCAACGTAG